TGAAAATAATTTAAATACCAAAAAAATTTATGGTAATCAACACAAATGCATGTAAAGCTCTGCTGAAACGACTCCCAAAGATGCCTCTATTTTACTTTCATTTTATTTTATGACTATGGCAGCAATTATGTTTATTATGAAATTAAGCCTGCACTCATTGATCAGTGTGGGCAACAATGAATTCTACACCTCCACATCAATGTATTGTGTACAAACCAAATGTATACATAGACAAAATTTTACAATAAAATATTTTTCTCAAATTAGAGCCATGGAAATAGTATTAGCTAGCTATTGCTGTGTGACAAATAACTGAAAAATTTAGCAACTTAACAAAAATCTGCATGATATCACACAGTTTCTGAGGGTCAGGAATTTAGGAACATCTCATGGGTTCTCCTGCCTCACATGGAGTATTCCAGCTGTCATCTGGGATAGAATCAGCTCAAAGTTTTACTTCAGTAGAGTGTTTGTTTCTAATTTATATATTGGGGGGAGAGAGCACAAGAGGGAGGGAGAAAGAGAGAGAGAGAGAGAGAGAGAGAGAGAGAGAGAGAGAGAGACAGAGAGAGAGACAGAGAAACTCGCCAGTTATTCCTGGATCCTGTTCTTGATCACATATATGAATTAAAGTGAAGATTTGTAAACCTTGCTGAAGGATAAAGAGGCCAAAATGAATTTCCAAATAGGTCAAGTTCCATCCATGTACAGGATATACTTCTGTTTTGTCTTAGTTAAAAACATTTATGCTTTCTCATGTATAGAAGCACACACAGTGTATTAACAGTTGTTATTCTCTTATTTTGTTATGTAAAAATTTGTCTTATGTTTTCATAAAATAAAAAAGAAATAGCTATTTTAATTTTGTATTATATTGTCCCATTCTTCAAAAAATAATCAAAGTAATTGCTATTAAAAATCACGAACGTCAAAAGAATAGCTTTCAAAGCAATAAGAAACAGAGACTTGGCTTGACTTTTGTCTAAGGCTCTGAATCTGCAGTAAATGACAATGCATCCGGGAGCTTCTTTGCTGGTGGGGCATGCCTGGCACGCTGCCATTTTGCCCTTGTGATTCTTATTATCATCTAACTGGTAAGAGGATGGAGCTCTGGGTCAGTGGCAGGATGTGCTTCACTTTCCATTCATGTATAACCATTCACTGACAGCTTTTCTAGAAAGGCATATTCTGTAGCATCATATTCCTGGGGAGAATTATCATAGCACAGAATGCTGGGTTTGGAAAACTTTGTGAGCTCTTTGGGGAACATGAGTTGTGAGACAAGTAAGTACAAAGAAATATTACAGTCAGACTCACAACCCATTCTGATTCCCTCCTAGAACCTTTGCTGCTAGCTTGAGGGGAGAAATTGCATGAAAAAAGACAGAGACCTAAACTATTAAGTGTCGACTCTGTCCCTGGGATATAAATCCCTCTGGGCTCCAAAGAGCACAGGGAATCTTTATCTGTCAGGATTCTTAGCTTAATTTTTGACCGCAAAAATTGTTCCTGAGAAATTTAAGTAGAAAAAGTGTTTACTAAAAGAAAGTTAGGCAGCGCAGAAATCAGGAGTAAGGCTTGAAGAACTGGACGTGGAAGATCTGCTCTCGGTCAAGATTCCTGACTCAATAAAGAAGAGAAAAAGAAACGTGGTTTCTTCAATTAAAATGCTACTATTCTCAGGTTTTGTCAAATATTTCATAATTAGAAACCATAGTCTTGTATATGCGAGCAGAGAAACTGGTTAAATACTCATTATTCAACATGAACTTGACAAATTCTTTTAAAGTTCAGGCAAGGTATTTGGAGTAGAGTTATTTAAAAGTTCTTGCTGGCATAGAGTTTATATCCCATCACGCTTTCTAATGTCTTTCAGCAGTTAGAACTCTACTTGCATAGATTTATGATTTAAAATTTCATCTATGTTCACTCCATTATGTTGATTGCATCCTCTCTTGTATTTTAACTCATGTGGGATTGCTGGAATCTGTGGAGGCCTGGTTTCTATCTGTGATTGATCGAGATGATCCCACAATGCAGGGCATAGTTTAAAAATGGCAGTGGAGTACAAATACTTTCTAGATTCTCATAGAAGTATCCAAAGGTTTCCTTCACAATACCATGGTAACGCTAAGGAAAATTTTAAGCAAAGGATTTGCCAAAAGTTGTCTTACTTTGTAAGCAGTAGTTAATCCAAGTGTTAGCCATTACACAGAAAAAAAAAGCTTTAGTAACTGCCCCTATGAGTCTTCAGTAAGTGCCTACTGATACGTACACAGTATGAGTATGTAGCCAGTAGCTTAATCCATTTCAATTTTCTCAGAACTAAAGAAGTATTCTGTTATATGAAGACCAATCTTCTCTGGGTATATTTGGTAGATCCTTTGAGAATGGAACAGTTAGACTCCATGTCAACAATGGAGGCATGATTCCTCTCCCTAATCCTTTATTTACTGCATCTTGAATTGAACTCACCTGAAATGACTTGATTAAACCTCTCTTGGGAACCTGAGAGCAGGAATGGCGAGCAGTCAGGAGGTCATGAGGCCTCTTTGGTTGGGAGAGGACATCCATTACTTTTGACTCATGGTTTTCTTATAGTAAACTTAAATAGAATATTATTGCACACATGGTCTCCTCTATTTTTGAAGAATAATTATTTAGGAAATCACTAAATTCCGAGACATATGGATGGCTTAGAAAGTAGAGGAAAAGATGAGTTACTTTAGCACTGAAAAAGCAAGATGTCACAATTTTTAAAAATGTATCCATCTAACCCAGAAAATATAGAAAACTATTTTACAGTCAAGATATCTTTCACCTTAGAGCTGTACCATGGGAGAAAGGAACTCAGAAACACTTCAAACTTTAGTAATAAGTGTTCTTAGTAAAATCCTTGCTTTTCTCTAACAGGTTTCACTCCCCAGCTTCACCTTATATTTCTAGCATCTTTCCACGTCTTGCATTATCAAGGGACATTATTTCTCTTTAATTATAATAATTGCACATACTTTCTTGAAGACATTTCATTTAGGCTTTTCTACTTTCCTTTGTCATGCAACTCTTCAAAACATAGCTTCTAAGACCTCTCCATGGATTTTTTCTTGTGTTTATGTTAATATTCTTCTTTATTCACGATATCCTTGTAATCACTTTCAAGTCCATCCATAATACTGATATTACTGAATCCAACAGACAATACTCAGTCTGCTCTTTCTTGACTTAGAAACAATGGACGATATGAATTTATTTGAAACTCTTCTTTTTTCTTCTGTACGCCCTATTGATTTTCATTCCTCCCCTGGCTACAAGTTCTCTAGATTCCAATTTCCTAAACTTGAAAAGTTCAGACCTTGGACTTTTCTCCTTTGTCACATGCGCTGTTGCATCAGATAGGCCCTCTTGTGTAGTTGGTCACTTGGCTTTAAAACAATGTATTTTCTGATGACTCCTGTGTTTCTGTTTACAGAGTAGACCTAATCTTTGCATTTCAGAGTTTTAGATCCATATTGGCTACTTATAAGCTTGAGCGTTTCTACTTTTTTCTGTTAGAGCCACAAGACGTAACAAATTCAAAAGCAACCCTTCTATGATTTAGCTCATTCTTCCTTTTGTGAGTGAAGGAGAGTCCATCCTTCTTAGGCCTGAACCTTGGAGGTATTCTTGAATTCTCCCGCTCACACACATCTGATAAACTAGCAAACGCTACTACTGTACCTTCCAAATAAATTCAGAATCTGACCACTTCTCTGCCTTCACTGCTACCCCATGTCACGGCCTTCTCACTGAATTGTTCCTGGGAACCAGACATTGTCTTTTTGCTCCTGTCCTTGTCACCCACAAATTATTTTCCACACCCAACCAGAGCTATGACTGCCAAATGCAAACTGAATCATATTGCTTCTCTGTAAAAACCTTCACTTTTCGAGTAGAGGACTAAGCCCTCACTTTAGATCTTGACATAGGTTCCTTGTTCAGATCACCCAGGGAATGTGTACAGAATATGAATGTCAGGCTCCATACCTTGAGATTTTAATTTAGCAGCATGTTTATGGGATCTGGCTGTTGGTATTTTAAAAACATTTTATATTTATATTTAAAAACATTAAGTAAATGAAAAGGAGAGTGAATATAATTGTATCTCATTAATTGTCTTACTGTTTCTCTTATTTCTTTTCTTTTACAGTCCACCTCAGAGTGGTCCGGTTTTGCCCATGACTTTATTACATCCTGACATGGTATACGGTTGGCTTGCTTTTTCATTTTCTGTTATAATTCTTCAGACCATAAACTCCAGGAGGGCTGACAATGTTATTTGATTTTGGTCATTGTTATATCCCCAGCTTCTAAGACAGGTTCTTGTCCATTACAGCTGCTCAATACTTGTTGAATATATGGTCTGCTTTAAAATCTTTAGCCCCATGAGATTACTTGAACTCTATCAGAATTTACGTGAAGCCAAGTGGGCTTAAAGAAGTGAAAAAATGGAATTATTGCTTTTTTCACATATTAATAACCATCCGCCAGTTAATAACCATGGGAAAATGTTTATCAGAAACGTGAAAATATGACTTTGAGCTTATGAGAGAAGCCAAGGGTTTAGGCATAACTTTTCTTAGTTGTTTAATTAGAGTTAATGACTGGTGCCCTGGGGAAGGAGGCGAGAAGGCCAGCAGAGCACACCAGGAGGTGAGAGAGGGACTGGGTTAGAAAACTTAAGTGAAAGGGAAAGGATCAAAGACAGAGACTGAGAAGTCACTCAAAGGGACCGTGGATGCCCACGTTCACGTACACAGAGTGCTTTCCTCTCCTCCTGCAGTATGACAATCAAGGACCAATAAGTGTTCCCTGTTTGTAGTCCTTGGGTAGCAGCTGCATGGATTAACCCGTGCTCTGAGTTCCCGTGAGGTAATAATGCTGCTTTGTATTGAAAGTGGAGTTTAACTGTGAGCATCTGCAGAGGATTCACAGCACCCTCAGCAGCAGGGAAATGTGGAGAACTAGGTGCTAAGACTGTAATTAGAACCAGGCATCTGTCGCCCAGCTCTGGAGAGCAGCTTCTCCTTGGTGTGCTCGCTCACCCCTGGCTCTGCCCGGCTTCCTCTCAGCCCCTGGCAGACAGGGAGCTGGTGAGAGGTCCGGTATAAAAAAGTGTTTTCCAAGCATGTGTTGATTTCCAGTTCCTGTCAATTGCATATTTCCAGAACATTCCAGAGGTCAATTATTATGAAAAGTCTAGCTCATTCTCCCACCTTTGCAGACTGATTATCTGGACCTTTTTCCACATGTTCACTTGTCCTGAAGACCTCTGCTCTCATCTGGCAGACGCACCAAGGGGGAGAAAAAAGATTTAATGCAATCAAACCAAATTGCTACCTTTTCCCAATTCTGATTTGAGCAGCATTTTCCAATGTACCATCTATAGACTACATCCTCCAAGAATCTTTTTTTTTAAAGCTCTTTAATTCAATACATTGACTAAATGCGGCATATCATATCCTCTTCTTTAGAAATTCACAGTGCTCACTGGGGTATTAAAGACTTCTAGTTCTCTTGCCATAAAGAAACTGGCTTAAACTCTTTTGAACCCAGCATTTCCCAAACTTATTTCTTCAGAGAGTTTTTCTTTTTCTTCTTTTCTAAGACATAAAACAGAATTAATGTTCCAAAGAAAAGACCTGCGTAGAAGCTAGATTAAATATTTCTTATCATTGACATTTAAATTGTGCTTCAAATGAGATCCAGAGATTTCCTAAGAATTTCTTCATTCTGGTTCTCCATTACCACTGATAGCTGCACGTTATACAATCATTTGGGATAAGTGGGCCAGGATTCCAGCTCATTCTTCTCAAAGGAATAAAAGTAAAGGTCGATCCTTTTATCATGATGATCAGTCAATTTAAAGGCTGACTCTGTTCTCATCCAACTTGGCCGCAGCAGATGGAGGTCTGGCACGGGGGCCATGTTCTGTGGGGTTGGGTTCCCTGCTTCTGTGAGTGTTTCCTGGGAAGAACAGGATAGGCTTCTTCACTTGGAGGGATCCTCAGGGTCTCGGGACCTCGAGATCATTTGCCAAAAAGCTGGGAAGTCTTCCTTTCAGGTCCACTAGGCAACCTGTTTATGTAGACACTGAAAAGACAGAAATGAGTAATCCAGCATGCTGCCTTTTTCTGTAAAGAACAAGACTATGAATAACCATATTGTCAAAGACCAAAAATAAAAAATTCAAACAGGAAGTAAAACAGGGTGTAGAGAAGGTATGATCAATGATTAGTACACTGTTGTTGTCTGTACCTAGACTTCCAAGGCCCCAAATGGGTGCATGGCGAAGGCTCAAAGGGATGAGACAAACAGCACAGATTTTAGGGCTGCAGGAGGGGTGAGATCCTCGGCAGAGCTCCTAACTGCTAACTGGCTGGCCAGCTGACTGATGCTAGGCAGCCCATATTTAATCAGAACAAGCAAGGAGCTGAGTGGACAAAGGAGGAAACTGAGCAGGATCTTGGGAGGTGCTCAAGGACCCCTCAGAGCAACAGATGATGCTAATTAAGGAAAACTATCCAGAAGGTCTCTAGGTGGCCTCAGCTGTAGCCTATCTTGCCCCCTGAGGTGTCTCCTGGTTCTCAGTTCAACCATGCCCAGGCCATGCCACAGCCCTGCGTGTGTATTCAACTTCAATGCTCTCCAACAGTCCATTACTTAAATATCCAGCTGTACACAGTGAAATACAGTTCTGCACAAGAGATTAGGCCTTCCTAAAGTACAAAATCACATGAACCAAGAAAGAATATGCCAGTATGAGAGGTCAGACATCTTGGTGAGAGCCAAATTCAGTATGTGTATATGAAGAAGACCAGAAAAACGATTAACAAAAGTCACAAACCAACTAAATCCTTTCTTTTATAGTTAAACAATTAGTTATAGAAATACATTTTATTTACTTTTTGCCCTAGCAGGTTATGGAAACATCCTTCATTATTATTTTTAACTAAGAGAGCAGGCAGATTAATTAAAGAAGGGTGGCTCCTCTTTGCCACCAGAGCTCAGTGGCCTGGTGGAATGGAATGTCTTTGAGATGAGCTGGGAGTGCATGCAGTAGTGGGAGGGAGAGAAAGAGGGGGACAGAAGAAGAGGGAAGAGGAAGACTCAGGGAGTTAGAGGTGGCGAAAAGACTGTGATTAGCTTCGTGCTGAGCTGTGGCTCTCTCCCCTCACTCTCTCCCTCCTCTAGGTACTCAAAAGCGTTTCAGAAAAGAAGCAAACAAATATTCTTCCCAGTGCTGGTTTCTGAGTCTCTGTGTGTTTCCATTTCATGGATGGTAGGCCGTGTGAAAGAAGGTCCAGAGATATTTGGTTTCCACCTAACATGAAACAACAGAGATGGGATTGAGCATGTTTAATATTTAACAGACTTAGTGGCAGTGAAAAACATAAACATTTGGGTAGTAGATATACCTCTACAAAGAAAAGGCATTCTACCCTACAAAATAAAGACTGTACCTCAAGCACACACACATTTGACCTTAATTCATATGTATTCATTAGTGACTATGCAAACTCTATCTAGGGTTTTCATGCTAGCAATCACTGATATCATCCATAGAATGTACTAGTTTTGGAAACATTCTTGGTTTTGTACAATTGACCAGCTTTCCTAGTAACTTCCCCACACCCACAATCAATCTGCATTGCTAGATAGATTGGTCGCTATATTTGTTGGGTTTCTCCAGAGAAATCAAAACAATAGAATCTGTACATGTACAAAGAAAGAGACTTATGTCAAAGAATTGGATTAGAGACCCCAAATACGCAAACTGGAACAGAGATCCAAAGAAGACCCAATGCTTCAGCTCAAGTCTGAAGGGTGGCTTTGGCTAGAGAGGGAGGAAGCTGAAAGGGAGGACAGGAAGGTATTGCCCCATTTCCACGGAAAGAAGACCTACCTGGAAAATAATCAGTCAGCTTTGAAAACTTAGGTCGCAAGTCTCAGCCTCAGTTGACTTGCCTTACCTGCCATGATGGAGTGGCCACTGAAAAATGAACAGAGAGATGTCATCTTCTGCGTGACACTGTCGGCCATAAGGTAACAACTCGAGCTTACTTCCTGGTTAGGTCTTATTTTTGGAGAAACACGGTGGTCGGTGATGTGATCAGAAGAATGACAACAGCAAGTGAAAGCTGTGCAGGGTACAGTGAAGGGAAAGAAAAGGTAATTAACCCTGACGGGTGACAGGCGCTGGAAGTGACGCCATTGAGTTTTCTCTCTGTCACGTATCACATGTGTGGCTGGCGGTACTAAATCTATCACACACTCATACACATATGCACACACACAGTGCTCCTGAAAATAATCACGAGTGTAATGAAAGGCTCCTGCTTACTGGTGAGCAGCACAAATGCATGTGTGTGGCCCCTGATTTGTTTGTGTAACGGGAACAACTCAGCCTGTTTCTTTATTTTCCAGCCATACACTTGGAAGGAGAAACTTTGCCCTGCTCTTCAAGCTCATAGGAATCCAAGATAAATTCCTGATCTAACTAAAGGGGATGGAAGCCTCGCCTTGCCTGTAGAAAGTCGGATGGTGTGAATTTTTCACTGTTTCAATAAACGCTGTCAAAAGCATTTTACTTTGATATTCTTAAACCTAAAAGATTTAAATTCATTTAATGCTTAGGAAGAGACGGTATCTGTCGCCTCTGGGGAACAGCCTCTGTTCTTTCCTCCCCTCAGCCTGACTCTGTGGGATGTCTGAATTAGTCTCCAGTTGCACTGGCTTTATTACCCGAGCTTTCAACTCTCGGAGAGTGACGGTGTCCGCAGCTGGACCCAGGAGGTACTGGTTCTGAATCTGCTCAGAACCCGTCTATCCTAACTGCTGGCACGGTGAGGCCCAGAGTCCATCAGATGGTTCATTGTTCTTGGTGACTTTCACAGCTGCTCATCAAATGCTCAGCTGTGGTATTGACCTTTTATAATATTATTCAGGGAACTTGCGTTGCTTTATGAAATCAGCAAGCTTTCATTTAAAATTCCCAAGCATCTTCTATTGGCTGTATAATTGAGTCTATATTTTGCTAAACTGTCAAGGAATGTTTTTTTTTCTATCAATGATCAAATATTATATCAGTAAAATTTGCCCCAGACCTTGTAAAATGCCAGTGAATATAACCAGGATGGCAATGATTTCTTTCAGCTTTATGAAATGCGAGGAAAGAGAAACAGAAGGGCTTGGGTGATGTGAGGGTTCATGTGGTGCAAAACCAATGTTCTTCGGGAAATAGAAATTATTATTAGTAATAGTATTCACAACGTGGTTTCAGGCACAGGGAAGTAAGTCTGTGGTTTATTGAAATGAGATTTCTAGATAATTAAGCATCTGTTATTGGCTAGGCCTCACTTGGAGAGCTGAAGCCCTATTTTAGACTTTCAAAATAATTCTGAGAGATGTTTTTTTCCATTCCACTACTACCTAATAAATGCATATTTCTTAGGGAGATGAGACTCATCAGTTTTTTAATTTAGTTATGAATCATATACCCTAAAATAGACATCTTTGGTGCACAGCTCTAAGCCTTTCATTGCATGCATGGGTTCACGTAACCAACACAGTCAAGAGACAGAGCCCTTAATTTAGCCTAGAAATCTGTTCCATGATATCTGTTCATCATTAATATGGTCCCCACCTCTCTATTCCTAACATTATCATTACAACTTCACGATTTCGAAGATTTCATAAATGTAACTGGGCACAAATGGTGTCTTTTGAAAATCGTTTTTTAAACTCAGCATGAAACCATTTTTTGATTTATCAACAACCTGACCTTTTTCAGTGCTGAGTAGCACTCTGTCTATGGATTTACCACACTGTTTACATTCACTCATACTAAGACATTTGAATAACTCTCCAGTTTGGAGACTATTTAAAGAGAGTGCTTTTAAAATGTGTATAGTTTTTGAATTATAGAGTTATAATATGGTAAAGATGTTTCTAACTGTATAAAACTTGCTCATTTATCTTGTCATTAGACTGTACCATTTTGCATCCATTCTAGCACTGTATTTCTATGAGAATCCTGTCTCACCAAGACCTACCTGTAAAATTTTTGGTGCTGTTCATTCTAATGTGTGCATAAGGATATTCTGCAGTGGTTTCAACCAGTGTTTCCTAAGATTAATAATGTGAACAATTTTCTTATATATTTTCCATCCATCTGACCTCTTCAAGTATTTTTCAAGTCCTTTACCCATTTTTATTAGGCTATTTACTTTCTCGTTTTTTTCTGTTCCTTTCTTTGAGACTACTCTACATAGTTATCACATGTTTTTTTACTGCAGCTACATTTTTTTTTTATTTTAAAGAAGGTGAAACAAGCCATAACAAAACAGAACGAAGCAGATCAGAAGAAAACAATATAAATGACACAGATTTCAAAGCAAGACAACAGGAGATTGACATTGACTACCATCATGTCTTTTGTTTTCTTCTAAATAGTTGTCTTTATCTTCACACACAATGAATTAATATAACACAAAATAGTATAAAACTGATCAAAACAGAATAATGAAAGCATTACAGGCCTTTAAAACCAGACAATAGGAAAATCAACAATGACTTCTGTAATGTCTCTTGTTCTCTTCAAAATAGCTGTCCATACTTTCATGTAAATTGAAATTAAATAATACAAAACAGATTAAAACCACTCTAAACAAAGAATAAAATCATCACTGGATTTCACAGCATGAAGGTAGGAAATCAGCACTGGATACCATAATGTCTCTTTTTCCTCAAAGTAGCTGTTCATTTCATCATGTATAATACAATCGATTCTCGTTAACTCTTTAGGAGAAGTTCTAGGTATGTATAAACCTCTACATATAAATCGATCCTTTCTGTATTAGAGGGAAAAGCAAAACAGAAGCAAACAATTTACTAGAAAAACAAGAAACAAAAAGACAATAAGTCACAATAGCAAGGAGCCCAAATCAATGACAATATAGGCCTTCAAAACAAGGTGGTAGGAGCATAACTAAGGTTGTTATTTTACAAAATGATCTTCAAAAGAGTTCCTCAGATCTCCAGATACAATCTTACAAAATTGATCCAATCCTATGAATGTTAATTATTTTGTTCCAAGAACTAATAGAATTTGTAGCACAATCATCTTAGCTATCCTAAGTGTGTTTATACAAATTTAGATACTTTTTCTTTTCCCTTCCTTTCCCTCCATCCTTTTTCCTGAGATATTATTTTTGCCCCTTTGAATAGATTCTTATCCTTTCACGGTATTTATTGAGGATTTTGTGTCTTATGTACTCTTATTATTTCTTATACTAGGGAGACAATACAATTTTTACACATGTGAGTTTGATTTATTTTACTTGAGTATGGTCTCAAGTTGCAATGTGATCATTCTTTATAGCTGAGTAGTACTCCATTGTATGAAAATATCACATCTTTTTAATTCATTCTTCAGCTGATGGACACTTAGGTTGTTTACAAGATCTAGCTATTACAAATTTTGCTGCTATCAACATGGGTGACAAATCTCACTGTTTTGATGGCTATGCCACTTACTAACCTTTTAAAGTACACAGCTTGTATTTTCATTCTTTTGAAGCAATTTTGGAAGCAATTTTGTGAGTTACATAGAATTGTCTTAAATTTTTTACTTTATAAACTTGATAAAATTCTTCATTGAAAATACCTGGGCTTCGAGATTTTTTGATGACTTATTTGTAGCATAGTTTTGGAAGATGGTACAGAGATTTCCAAAACAGCTCTTGCTCCCTCTCCATATGTAGCTTTTCCTGTTTTTTTTTCAAACTTTTTTTTTTTTGTGTTTTTCCTTTTTATCGGTACTGGGGATTGAACTCACAACTGCCTGCTTGCAAGGCAGGTGCTTATGCCGCTGAGCTGAATCCCCAGCCCCCATTGAAACATTTTTAATATTCCATTTTAATTTTCCTATTGTTTATCTGATTATAACTCTTATGAATTTTAATGGTTTCTCTAGGGATTACAGTGCATAGACTTGGTTCCCGTAGGCTACATATAACCGATGTACATCAGCTCAAGTGTGTGCAGAAACACATGTCACATAGGCTGTTTGTTCACTTCATGCTCTTCATGTTCCAGTCTCCTTATGATTCACATTTATGTACACAATATCATTGAGCTTTTGTCTAAAAAGTGTATTTTAAGGCACTAAAGATGGGAGGAAGAGTTTATTTTACTTATTACAGCATTTATCATTTCTCTCCCTCTTCCTTAATTCATGACATTTCAGGTTTTCTTCAGGTATCAATTCCTTTCTTTCTAAAGCTCCCTCTTTAGAAGTTGTGTAGAGAATGATGGCAAACAAGAGCTTTTCTCTTTATGTGAAAATGTTGATTTCATCTTCATTTTTGAAGAATTATTCTTCTGAATAAAGAATTATCATTCTATAATTCTTTAAAGACGCTATGTGATTTCCTTGAGATCTGCTTGGTTTTACATGGAAAGTCTTCATAAATTTCAGTATTTCATCCTACTTAGGCTGCATGTTGCTTTTCTATGTTGCTTTCAGCAGTTTTATTTATTTTTAACTTTAAATAATTTGATTGTATTGAGAATCATTATGATTTTCTTCATATTCATCATCATTGAGTCTCACTGAGGTTCTTGTATGTGTAATTTTACATATTATCCCAAACTTAGAGAATATTTTTTCAAGTTCAATATGGTCCTTTTTCTTATAAATTTCCAGCTGACATTCCAACTGTACATATTTTGTACATTTACTTACTGCTCCACAGATCATCAAGACCATTCAAAATTTTTCTTCTGTAATTTATTTTGAATACTCTGTTGATATAATTTTAAAGTCTTCAATTTTCTTCATTTGCTATTAAGCCTATTTAGTGAATTTTTAAAATTCATTTATGCTTCACTCCCAGAAATTTCTCTGCACTCATTTTTATTGTTTCCATTTTAATATAGAGATTCACTGTCTTCTCATTCATTTGATCCTATTTCTCTTCACTAACTTAGAGCATTAAAATGCCACAAATTTTTTTATCACATGATTCCAATATTCAAAAAATATCTTAGTATTTTTTCTAATTTCTGATTTTTTCTTAACTAAAGTTAAATAAAACTGTTGAAAGCAACATAGAAAAAGCAACACATAGCCTAAGTACGATGAAATGCTGAAATTTCTGAAGACTTACCATGTAAAACCAAGCAGATCTCAAGGAAATCACATAGCATTGCTAAATGACAAAGGACAAGAATTATAGGATGATGATGGTTTTTGAGCCCAGGGATGAGAGGAGAATTTGAAGAAACTAATTGATTAGTCATTGCATAGAGAGACAATTGAAATAACAGAATTGAAATGTAGGATGGTAGAATGATATGGAGACAAGGAAGAAGAGGAAGAAAAGAAAGAGGAGGAGGAGAAAAAGAGCTATTGCATCAGATAAAGAATCAGAAACTTTTAAGCCTGAAAATTCAATATGTATAAAAAACATTTATGAAATATAAGTAAAATGTTTAATCTGGATTGTTCTTACAAAGTAATAAAGTGATCTAAATATATTATATGGTGCTATGACCTTGTACAATAAGGAGGACTTGCATGCTCTCTCGGTGCAGCCTTGGTGCAGTTCCAGTGTGAGTCTGAAGACCTGAGAACAGGTGTTGTCTATCTTGTTGACCCCAGTCCAAGGAGGGGAGAAGACCAATGCTCCAGCAGGGGTGGTCAGCTGGGGAAAGGCAGCGAATGCCCTCAGGCTTTTCTTTCTCTTCAGGTCCCCACTGGATTCTATTGTACCCGCTCACTCCCGGAAAAGCTCTCTGGGTTACTCAGGCAGTAGATTCAGGTGTCAGGGTCTGCTCCATTCACCCTCACACACAGATCCTAAAACAATGATCAGCTCATATCTAGACATCCTGAGGCCACATATGAAATGCACCTTCACACAGATCAATAAATTCATTTTATACTGAAATAAAGTTATGTTTTTTCCTAACATGCTGCTCCTAAGGAAATATGATCACACATATTTTATAACTAAATGACTATTTTCTGTGTGTCCCCTGATTACAAACTATTTGTTTTACAGAGATCAAAAAAAGAACTTAATTTTCTGGATCTTCCATATTGGTATACATTTATCTTGCTTTTTTCTGAGAGGATTCATGTCAGTCCTACAGATAAGAGTAGGTACTAGGAAGGCATAAAAACCATTCATCAATACTGTTGCCAATCAGTTCACTGCTGCATAAAGCCTGTTGATTAGTCTTGTGAATTCATAAATCGGGCTTTCCTCTCTCCACTTACTCAAATCACAAAGAGAGAAAAACAGTGTGAATCCTTACCCTATAATTTGTTGTACATTTTTCTTTACTGGAATGATTTTTGAAACATGAGATCTGTTTTGGAGCTCAGATAATGAAAACTTGGTTCCATACCAAATGCATTCTTCAGACACTAATTGTACAGAATTTAGTTACAGTAAAATCATGGTTTATATTAAACAAATTCAACAAATATGTTCTTTTCGGGTATGATTAAAAAAATAACTGCTATCTTCATCTACTTCCCTTGTCTTGATAGCATACTCTTGGTATCTAGGTGGTGTTTCATGGCCATATGGTTACCTATTTTAGACAATGTCTGGCAGTTAAAGTATGAAGCCTTCATAACTCCCAACAGAGACTTAACTGTCAAAAACTCCACTTTATGAATCTTTTCAGAAGATTTGGCATCCACTTAAAAATACTTAGGTGAGTTCATTTTTTATGTTTCATTTTAATTCGCATCATTTAGAAGGAGTCATGAAAAAATATTTCAAGTCTAAAAACAAATAACAACATGGACTTTTTCTATGCTTTTTCATGAAAGGAGATACAGGGTGGTGGCATAAGACCTGGGCCTGAAATCAGGGAAACTTTATTTCACGTGGAGGCCTTTCTCATTGGATACCCGCTTATCTTCTAACTATGAATGTTCTCAGTTGCAAAACAAGGTTCAATACGCTCACCCCTCCTGTCTCCCAGGAAGCTGATGCCCTTCAGATTGAAAGGAGAGGATGCATACTACCTAAAATTTACCGGGGAGTGACCAGGGAGTGTGTGTCAGGTGGTTTGCACCTGCACAAATGACTTTAATGCCCTCAACAACCTCTTCATGAAGGATGACACTTGTCAGTTTAGAAAGTTAGCCTGACATAATGCAAGCCACACTCTCTAGGTCCTTGGTGACAGTGGAACCGAGATGAGCCTCCACCCCGCTTGTGCGATGCTCCTGTTTCTGACATCTTCACTGGCTGCCAGTTTGGTGTAAACATGGGGTTTTCACACCAGAGCTCCCACACTTACACAAAAGGCTTACCCAGTTATGCAAAAGACAGACATTCAAAGTTTCTGAGAGTAAAAATGTTATAATTGAAAAACAGAATTTAAAATCTACTTGCTCGGGAATCAAATAAATTTAGGTCTTTCATCTAGGACAAGAGCTTTGGTTGGTTTTGAAAAAGAAATTTTGACAGACAGCTTCTTTGAAATTTTGTAACTGAAGAGAAGAGAGAGAAATAATGAATCTTTTCAAGGACATTTAACTTCTTTCTCTAGGAAATAGTTTGGTTCTAGTCTTATTTTAAATATAAGGGGTTTAACTAGCTCAGTTTGCCCAGGGTTTAGGAAATTTCTCATACTCTAAATACTGAAGCTGGAAAAGTTCCAGGAAAATTAGAATGAGCTGATCACTGTCTCAAAATATTAAAATTAATGTGTTTTTATGAAGTAAGTCTAGACTTAATTTTGGACACGCCATAAACCCCTTAGTCTTTTCCTATCGATGTGAGGGATTCTGACTCTGGTCTTGGCTTTTTCAGAAAGTAATTTTTGGTGGAATTCTGACCATCACATCTTGTTCATTGGAGGTAAACTTGAATAAAGAAGAAAAGAACCCCAAGTTCTGTTGAGTCATAGCTCTCTGCATTTGTTATTCTGGCTTCAAGTGAATTCAAGGTTGCATAAAAGAAAACTTTCATTTCAGTGGTGCTTGTCCAGGGAAACCAGCGCAAGGTGAGTGGTGTTGGATCCAGGAAGGAGCTGGACCAGGGATGCCAGGCTTCTCTGCCTTTGCCTTTCATGCTCTCGTGTATTTTCTCCCAATTTTGTTCCCCAGCCTCATGGCTTCTCAAGTCCACAGGGCAGAAAATATGACAAGCACAGCTGTGTTAACATACCCTGAGCTGGGTGATGGATCTTTAGAGAGATACGACTTTTTTGGGTCACAGCTCGAATCCGTAGGAGAAACCCTGAAAACTGTTCCTGGATCACTGATGCAGTCAGTTGAATCCAGTGGCGGTAGGTCAGATTGGCACGACTCACTCCTGTAAGCAAGGGGTCAGCTGCGGCAGGGACAGTCCCCAGAAAAGCAGAGAGCTGGGCGAATGAGATGTGAGGTGTCTAATACACTATCAGTGGCAGACATAACACCACATATATGTTCTGAAAACTAAAGTGTTAAAATCAATCAGATTATTCAGGTCTGATAGAAACTAAGGATTTGTCTGGATTGCTCTTAACTTCTTCTCAAAGTAATGATTTAAATTAAAAATTCTGGGGCAGAATGATGTCACGCAGAGCCCTAAAGGATCTGCTGTAATTCTGGAAAGAACAGAAAGAGCTCACCTGCTGCCCTATGAAGTTGTTTCCAAAGATCAAACAATTCAATTCAGAATAAGAAAATGTGATTAGGGTAAAGGTTAAAGCTTTTGATTGATGTGCTTCAGTGTATTTTGAGTCTATTTTGGAAGAAATGGAAAGAAGAGAAGCAATTACAAATACGCCATCAATACCTTGAAATTGTGAGACACACATCGAGAGTCTTTTTCTGACAATTGTTGCTCACTCTGTATTTTCCTTTCTCTGAATATGTTTATATTTAATGTAGCATTGTGCATTATTTGTCTGTACTTTAATAGGTTTTAATAAGACACTGTTACCCTAGTATGACTTAAAATTATTTGGCAGTACATCGAATGTGCATTTTTTCATATTACTCATTTTTCTCGTGGTATTTATGCTTGATTACTTCTCAGCCTCTTGTCTTTAGCCTTCCCTTCACCATTCAGAACGCCTTCAATGTACTTTTCTACTGCCTAGATGCTTGGACAGTGTCACAGGCTAATTTTTGTGTCCCCACTACCCCCAAATGCGTATGCTCAAATCTCCAATGCTGATGTAGTGTTGGGATATATGGTCTTTAGGATGGTTCTTCCGTAACAGGATTAATGTCCCCATGAATGAGACCCCAGAGAACTCTTTTAGTCTTTTCTACTACATGAAGATAAATGGAAAGTCCAGACCTGGAAAGCAGCTGTCTCCAGAACTGGGCCACTCTGGCATTCTGATCTCAGGCTTGTAGAGAAGTGCAGAGAATGAATGTTAATTGATTGCGAGCATTGTAGCCTGTAATACTTTATTATAGCAGCTCAAACCAACAAAGGCAGACACAAACAATAGGCCAGATCCAATATACTTTGAGTAGCTGTCAAATAGGTGTCAACTTTCAAAGTAAGTTAAGGTGATTGTTTCATTTAATCTGACTAGTACTTAGGATCTAGGTGTCAATAAGGTGTACATTTTTTAGATCAATAAATTAAGCGACAGAATTTAACAGAGTGCCAGGACCTCCAGCTAGTAAGGAACATTCAAAACTAGAGTTGATAGTAAGCTGTGCCCGTTAGGGTCCAAGTAAATTCTTCAAATTTAGGATAAGTATTCCCATAATTCCATTCCTTATTCTGTTCTCACACCTCTTTTTAGCTAATGGCTGATATCAGCTGTCGAAGTAGCTGGAGTTCAATCTGTATTTTTGATGTAGTAATATTTTACAATAAAGAATATATAGTAATTAAGTTGCAGTAACCCAAAATATGCTTTTTTTTTTCAACCTTATATTACAGACCATTCTTTCCTATACAGCACTTACATCTTTTCTGTGGTTTGAATCTTGATGACATACTGTCTCATTGCCAATATCTGACTAATTCTCTATACAGAGATCAAATAAAAATTACTCATTTCCTGGACAAAGTGTATGTATACAGGAATAAATTTTAACTTAACTAGGTCACAGAATATAAATGTGCAGAAAAAAACCCACAAAGTATATTTTCTGTGAGATCAGGAAACTTACATTTTCCAGTAAAGAGAATAAATGATTAATTGAGGCATCAGATTAATATGAAATATTTACATTAAACATAATTTCAGTTTTACCATATTTTCCTGCAATACATCTATAAAGACATCATATTGGGTTGGAGAAAGTAAGATACATAATTTGCTCAGAGGATATTGATAACATTTAGAATGAAAGAATTCAGTTTTAAGATTTTATTTCTTTATACACAGTACCTATTTCTCTAGAAATAGAATTTTAGCTCCTTGTCAAGTAAAAAGAAAATACTTACTGAAGCTAGTGAAATGTAAGTTGCTAAGCTGAACAGAGCAAGAAAAGTTTATGGCAGACTCTACTCTGCTCGTGATAAGCCTTTGGTATCCCCCTTTACTAAAAACAAACCAGACAGCAAAAATACAAAATGACCTCTATTTAAAATGAGATAAAGGGCTCATATTAAAATGCTGTACCTAAGCTTTGGCTGGAATTCTGCAATGCACTCACTACTCTAAAATACCCTTTGGATGATCAATATTTGAGATTTCTGCATGCTCAGTCTGAAATAATAAACAGCCCACCATATGGCCTGCAGCCACGGATCCCGCTTAGTGCAAAGACCGGTGGACACGGCCGAAGGAGGCTCCTTTCTCACAATGCGGGAAGCCAACGGTGTACTCCTTAACAGGGGTGCGAAAGTGAACCACAAATAATTTCAGTTCTTTCTGGAAGCAGGACAGACATCAACCACAGGCCTGCACAGAGAAGGCATGGCATTGTGGAGGTCCAGAACTCTAAAAGCTTGTTGGCAGAAGACATCTTGCAGAGGCAGCAGGAATAGCAAAGCATCAGATACGGCTCTGGAAGGGACCTAGGAAATCATCTTGCCTGAGGGAAGCCAAGGCCCAGAAGATCCAATGATGTGCTCCAGTTCACAGCATCCACAGGGGGAGACACTGCTTTCTTTTCACCTCGGAGATTCTCTCTGCCGTGTCATGCGCTTGGCACAGCTCATGTATTCCCATTAGCAAGTCATAGCGTCTTCTGTACACCTTAAATCCCATCGACTGCAAGTAACTTTGTATTTTATCATTCCAAGAAAACGGCTTTTAAATATTCTTTAAATCTCCAAAGATCTAAAAGCTAATTAATTATATAACTTTATAAGAAATAAGGAGAAATTCTTTTGTTCTAGCTGAGCTATATATAACTCACAGCTTTACTTAAATTTATTTTGCAGTGTACTTATGTATTCCAGAATTGCTCTTTCCTGTTATTCAGTAGTACAGAGATAAAAGTAATATTTGCTCTTGAAGCTTAAGATCTGTAGAGAAGATTATCAAGATGCTAAGCTGCACAAACATAAATTCCTCAACTATTATGAGATTACATTGAATACAATGTCACAACTCTAAACTAAGCTGGGCACAAATAGTGTGCAGATGACCTGCTGAGGTCTTTTACGTCTCCTGATCAAACTTCAGTCTAAATATGCAACTGTCTCTCTGACTTTACAACGCAAATTCACTTGAGCAATCTAAGCTCCATAGATACTCTGTTATCAAAGTTCTAATTTTACATATTAGGGCTTGTAATGCTAGTTAATTGCATGAATTTTCCCATCACATACTCAAAGAAATCCTATACAAATATGTTATTTCTCATTTTCAGATGTAGCAGTCAACAAGCTGGATTTATATTACATTTCTGGTGAAACTGCATTTGTACCCAGGCTTGATATGTGCACATGTCATCCTAATGCCAAGATGAAACAGCCCTTAGTCTCTCTAACACCTAGAATTCAAGTGACCGGAAGTCAGTCTGATCGTTTCTGTTTTTGAAATCTTTCTATATTTTAAGGTCTTCATTATTGGTAACTTTTATATGGACCTTATTGGGGTGCTTCTAATTAGAATGAATTGCTAAGTGAGAGCACACTCAGGTTTCAAGCACTTTACCTAAAAGAGTAGTTGGAATTATTAAAAGAATAGCTTAGAGGAAACTGAAATGCACCTACTTTTGGATTGTGTTTGTAATTTGAGTTGGCATATATATTTGAAAAACCCAAATCTAGTCAAACAGGACCACGTCTAACCAAATGTACTCTTCATTGTTGGAACTGCTGAAACTCAACCTTATGGAGAGGGGCATAACTCTTTATTGATGCTTTCAAACACTGAGTTATCCATCCAGGACCACATGAGCTAATTTACCAGTGTGTCTCCCTGAGCTAACGAATAGCATAATGTGTTAAAGCACTTTGGAAGTGGTTAAGGGCAACATCACAGGGCTTCCTGTCAAGAAGGGATACTATTTGCAAACATTATCACACCCTCAGTATGTCAGGACTGGCAGGATGCGCATTCCAATTCAGATGGGCTGAAACAGAGTCTGAGCTGATGGAGTTGCATATGGGAATGGAGGCCCGGAAGCTGTTATCACCCTGTTCCCTCTGTTTTGCTCCCTGCTCTGTTCCTTGCTTCAGTCTTGGGAAAGTCCAAAAAGCATGGAATAAAGTGGTAAGAGTCAGTCAGTTTCTTGGAACATAATGTAGGGCAGAGACGGGTAGATAATAAGTCTGAGAAGAGATTTACTAACAAAATGTAACCAGCGTATTCTATTCTCGGGAGGGGTAGGGAGAGGGAGAGAGACAGAGACAGAGACAGAGAAAGCAACTTAACCTGGAAAACCTAAAACTGAATTTCTTTCTAGAACAGAAATTGGCAGCATCATTAAACAATGGACAGGAACAAAGCCGTGGGCCAGCTGCCTACAGTTCAGTCCCAGTGGTAAGCAGGCCTTTGGCATCCAGTGCCTCCTTAGGGAAAGGTGCTAGTGTTGATGTGCTGTTTGACTTCTGTTATGGTTTGGGTCTGGATGTCCCTGCAAGCCTCAGTGGTCATGGGGACAGGCTGCTAGAGTTTGTGATTGATTCACAGTCCAGTGCTGGGATTATGAGTGTGAGAGCTACACTCAAGTGGGCGTAAAATATAAGGCTGGCATAAAATATAAGGGACAGAAAGAGCCTTCTCTCTGTGCTCCTCCTCTTTGCTCTCCTTGCTCTTGCTGTCTTCTGTGGCCATGAACTGTTGTCCTCTGCTATGGCACTCTGCCTTGCAGCAAGCTGATTATGAACTGAAACCTGTACAGATGGTGAACTAAATAAACTGTTCCTTCCTTAATTTGGGGTGTCAGGTATTTTGTCTTAGCAATGAGAGCAAAGTAACCGAAACAACTTTGTGTTGTGGTTTCCTTTCGCTCTCATGGGGAAGTGTGAAGGTCTTTCCAGACACTAAGACACAATTATGGGGATCAGAAAACAAGAAAATGGCTCAAGTTAAAAATGAGTAAACCTTAGAAAGTTTATGAAAAGACAGTGAACAGAAACTAATGCCAAAAGCCTTGTGTTATCACATACCTGTTACTGCAGCACTTGAATCACTGAGGCAGGAGGATTGTGAGTTTGAGCTAGTTTGCTCCACATAGTGAATTCAAAGGAGGCTGAACTGCAGAAAAAGGCCTTATCTCAAAATGACAAAACAAAAGACAGGTCAGTAATGAAATGATTGCACTCCATATTCAAATAGGTCTCCCTTATATTTGGCAAATTAGATTTGTGTAAGGATGTTCAGGATTCTCAGGACGATATGTGACATAATGCAAATGTGAAAAGTGTGATACCTTGGAGTAAAACTGAAACATCAAGGACAAAAACACAATCATCCTGCAGGGAAGTAGAGTATCAGAGACACCGTTTTCCTGAAAACAGTACAGAGCTGTGTAAAATGCCCTAGTGAGAAATGGGAGCTTACACAGTGATGAGATTAGCATACAAAATAATGAAAACTCAAAACACGAGAAGGGCTTAGTACCCACAGACTAGACCTAAAAGAATTATCAAATCCCATCTTTCAAGAAGGAGAAAAATAAATCCACCTGGAAAATATGGGGGATAAAAATAGGAAGAAAGGAAACTGGTCAATGAGTAGAAGACGGTTACAGTATTTGTAGGGTTAGGAGTGTTTTTAAAAAACTATATTCTCTCAATTTAAAAATAGAAACTATAGAGAAATATATTTGTGACTTCTAAACTATTAAAATGATACAAAACACAATTAAAATTATTATTAATCTGACAATGTAGGAAAGAAAAAATAAGGATTAAACGTATGATACACGGGAAGTATAAAATAGTAAATATTTACATCAATAGTTCCCAAAATTTAAAATATATAGTGCACCTATTTATAGATAACTAAAACTCAGTTATATGTTTGTAAGATAATATTCTAAGATCAAAGCATAGAGAAGAGCTAACATTAAGAGGGGAAGGATGTATCAGGTCAATGTGTAAAGGAGTTAAAAGCATTTTTTTGTAATAACATAAAATAAATCTTATTCTTTCTTCCTGAAAAATGACAAGGCAGATCACAAAAGCAAGTTTGGGTCACAGGGATGATTTGAAAAACTAGATAAGGTCAAATCACTCAAAATTAATGTAACTTCACAGTTATTTAAAAGAGTAGAAAAGTTCTAACACATCAGTAATCACAAATAATGTGAACTGGATAAATTATTAAGTAAGTATAGATTTACTTTTAAAATTCTCTAAACTCAATTCATCAAATGTTTATTCCTCAACTAAATTTTATTTTTAACAGTTCACAGTTAGAGCTAAAATACAGGGCAGCGGGAGGATGACCCCACGCAGTACTGGTGCTGAAAGGGACAGGTCAATCATCTCACCACTGGCACTAAAAGTAATCACAGCTAATCAGAGAAACGTTACACTACAGCCTATCCGCCGAAAGGGCTGAGGCAAAAAAGACAAAATACAAAGATTTTCTGCACATAAACAGAAACATTTTAATTGGCAGAGATGCTCCTAAGATAATGGACAGAAACCACTTACATTTCTAGGCCTCTTACAATGCACGAGGCTGCCCTCACCACAAAGGTCAGCTGGCCGAAACGGGCCCAGAGGTGAGGGTAATGCAGCAGCAGAGACCCGAGTACCGCGTCCCACATGGTTGTTTCGGTAGGAGCTGATGAAAAGCCTCTCTTTGCAACTGGATTTTACGACTGTCTTTGCAATACACAATATATTAGCATTACTGACCCGTCTGCTGCATTTCTGTGTCAAAGTTTGGTTGACAATAGCAAAGCTAGTATCCATTTCCCTGGAAGAGAGAAAATCAGGTTCCCCCATCTCTGACAGAAGTATTTATTCCTCTTAACTGAGACAATCTCTTATTCCTTTTGTTTACTGATAAAGATAGGTAATTCTAACGCTTTAGGATTATGTGCATTAGAGACATCAAAAACAGGTAGAGGTTTAATTTGACTGGACAGTGACAGTCACCTTCAAGAACTGAGCCCATCACATTTCACCTCAAGGGGATGAAATGCAGGCGTCTATCACTGAAAAGAAACAGCTCCTGTTTCATACTCAGGAGAGGCCACCCACATTGTTTGTTACATAGAGATTTTTTTTTGTGTGTGTTGTTTTACAAAATTCTTTTTGATAAAAATGGAGAGACCACTTTTAAAGTCTATGAGTAATAGAGTGATTAGAAGTGAAAATGGTATTCTTTCAATGATGATGCTTTTCTAATCACGATAATATGATTCACAGATGAATAGCAAAAAGTCAATGTATTCAAATTGGCTATTTAAATGTTCAGTGTCAATTTATCATGCAATCAGTGAATGGGGTGTTTGGCATGTGAAAGGAACAGAATTATCAAATTGCCTGCAATCTAATAGTCTCATCTGATAAATGCTTATCAAATGTTACACACACACACACACATATGTGTGTTATATCTCTTTCCTGTATTTGCAGTTCAGATTAATATGCATCTTATGGTGAAGCATGAAATCTTATATTTACTTCATATATTTTCATGTCATATTTAGAATCAAGAGAAAATAAAAGTAATCAGTAGATCAACTAAATGTATGTTTCTTATGGTAGTTCAACACTTTGTGTGTGAAAATGCTTTCTTATACATTCATAGACAATGCACCACATAATGTAGAGAAATGTGTGACCAATACATAAATCTGTCAATTACTTCTGAGTCATAAAATGACTCACACTTTGTATTAACAGATGGAATGTACAAGACATTGGAAAATACTCTGTCTCCATTGTTGTAGAAACCATCAGTGCAACTGGATAAAATTGTTTTACTGACGAAAATGATTGAAATTCAATCAAAAGGACTAAAGTTTGCTGCATCAGACTGCTGACAATAAGTCTAAACATTGTTTTGTAGATGGACTATGGAAATCTACGTGGCAACCCTAATACACCAGACTGGCAATTTAAATCATGCATTTTAATAAACAGCCCATCACAAAATTTCTGATTTTTTGTACTTTTTACCCTTCCTTATCAGATGAAAAAATTTCTAAGAAATAAACAGTTTAGAATGATGACAACATATGACTCATACAGGAAAATTATCTAAGTATCACTGAAAGCAATTTGAGAGGTTCCAGGAACCGAAGGAGTCTTAAGGAAAACATTATTTTCAGACTTTAAACTGTTTTCAGTGCCTCACTGTACCCGAAACTTTACGAAGTGTAGCTGATTACAATTGTTACAGTCTAGGTTGCTTTGTTTAGGAACACATGATATTTGGTTATCTTAGTCATGACAATGACTTAAGCGCTGAACTGCCCATCTGCAGAGTCATGGGATGCCACTAACTCAAATGTCACGTTGGAACGGATCCTCCCGTCTTCCCAGTTTTCCAGGAAACAATTCATGAAATCCGTTTTTGCAGTTGATCTCAGTCACTGGGCTTCCTCAACATTTTTCTTAGCAAAAGAGCTTTCTACTTTTTCTTTATTGCGCTGTGCACACTGGGGTAAGCCTGACCTTAAACAAACTAAGGACCTAATTGTCACATTATCTGCTGTGTGTGGGACACGGATCAAAAGGTCAATTGAATGCTGCATAGAGCTCACTGGGCAGTGTTCCAAGCCCTTGATGCTGCTCTGTCTGGTGAAAGAAAGAATTCTGGGCAAAGAAAATGAGCCTTTATATGCTTTAAGGATTCCAAGAAATCCATTAAGATTCATTACTTCTAGAATTATCAAGGAGAATGCTATATTGAGCCTCAAATAGAATCTTTACTCATTTTTTTTTTCCTGGGCATGATAACTTATGTCCAGAATAGGCAAATACAAGGAGGCAGAATGTTAATTATGTTTGCTTAGGGCTGAGAATGAGGGTGGAGGATTGGAGGATAATAGCTAAAATGTACAGAATTTCCTGAGGTGATAAAAATGTTTTAAGATTCATTGCATGCTTCAACACTGTGACTAGAAAAAAACCCCCTGTGAAATATTATATGTTAAGTGGGTAATTGTGAGGGGTATGTTATGGCTTGGATCTAGATGTCCTCTCAAAGCCTCATGTGGTCAAAGGGGTTTTATTTTTCAGAAGTGGCTGGATGTAGGGTATTTGAATGTGGATTAAGAGTGTGTGAGACTGAATTAGTCCACTAATCGGCTTGTCATAGCTCTGGGTATGGATAAGGGAAAGCCCCACCTTGGCTGTAGGAGGCACCACCCAAAAGGCGTATAGCTGGAAGAGATAAAGAGAAAGGCACCTCGCTGCTTGCTGTCTTCTGCCTGCTGTGGACTTGTTTCTTCTCTAGGACGCCTGTCTGCCATGCCACCCTGCCTTTGAACCAGCCACCTAGGGACTGAAATCTCTACAGACTGTCAGCTGAAATAAATCTTTCCCTCATTAACTTGTAGTATTGGATGTCTTGTCTCAGCAAGAGAAAAGTAAGTAGGGCAATATGTGAATTATTAGTAAATGAACACCCATGTTTACGGCAGCCAAACTCATGATAGGGGAGTCCTGGAGGCAGCCTATACATCCATCAGCAGACGAATGGAAAAGAACGGGTATATTTACACACAGTGGAGGAATGCTGTGATAGGATTAACATGAGTTATTTCTAAGTAAATCACACATAAAGTTAAATATCACATGGTGTGTTTTGTATGAGAAGCAAAAAATATAAATAAAGAGCAAAATAGAAGGTAATAGGAAGGTAAATATTTGGCAAAAGTGAAGAGGATCTAGAGACAGACAGAGAGGCCTGAAAAAGAATTAAGCTGTCTCACGTCCATGCACCAACCCTCCATGAGGCGTGTAACCATTGTGAAGTGCAAACATGTGTTAATACAAGTTAAAAGAAACAGCCAGAAGGGTTGCATGAAATGTTAATTTACACAGCAGGCAATCTTTTCAATATACATTGATTGCTTAATCTACCCTTGTCAGTGTTCTACATCCATTATAGGTGCCTCATGCTTTTCCGCAGTTATTTTATTTGATCCTCTCAACCACCTGGTGGTGTTGGGATTATCATCATTCCCATTTGATTGATGAGAAACCAGGGACACAGTCAGGTGCAGCGCTATTGCCCAAGGGCACACACTTGAATCAGGGAAATTCTTCTGGGTGAAAAACAGCAGATTTAATAAAGCTGGACCCAGGCGTGAACCAAGACTTCCAGGTCATAGTCTTTAGGAAAAATCTGTAGGCATTTTCCAAAGCTTCTTGGACTGCATTGCTTCCCCAGGGAAAAAGTTTATTTACACCTTTCAGAGAAAACGGCGCCAAAGAAAAAAGTGATTCATGAAGCTCCATCTCTGAAAAACAGCTCTAAAATAACTCCTATGTTTATTTCTATATGTCACAAATTCTAGGTATGTGTATTCAGAGGCACTCTAAAATTCAGACTTGGTTCACCGAAAGAATAACTGTCTAGATCAGGAATTTAGCAATTTAAACACATAAAGTGTTTATATACAATATCTGGCCATGGGATATGAAAATAGTCCTTTATAAATACTTTCCAGAATAAGAAATAGGAATCAAAGATAATAAAATTAGGTACCAACAAATTATTTTGTCAATTTATGAAATAATTCATCTATCCTCTGCTGATCTAGGTCACATAGTTGCAAGCAAAGCTTTGGGGTGAATTTAAAAGAATAGATTATGAATCACATGTGGAGGTATATGCCAGTAATCCCAACACTCTAGAAGGCTGAGGCAGGAGGATCATATGAATTCAGTCCGGCAATTTAACAACATAGGAGATTGTGTCTTAAAATACAGGGGTGAGGATGGAGCCTGGTGCAAAGTTCCTAGGTTCGTGCCAAGCACCAAAAGAATAAAAACAACAAAAATAGATTTATAAAAGGATGCAAACAGAAACTTAAACATACACGATAAGGAAATGATATCCAGCTGGACTCCAAGATGGAAAGTCATGGATTGAAACTTCCTTCTGGATACTTGGAAAGTTTATGGTCTTTCACAATTTTAAATGTCCGCTGTGTTATCTATGTCCACTCATATTCTGTTATCTGCTTCTTGGATTTAATGTATACTCCATATAGTCACATGTGGCAGCCTCAGTCCCAAACTTAAACGCTCATTATCCAAAAAGGGTGTCTTTTGAGTCTTGAAAAACAGTAACTTTTTGTGTCACTGCTGTGTCACTGCTATGCCAGTAAGCTGTTTAATTTTGCACCATTGTGCACCTCAGCTGGGGCCAAGGTTCCAGAATTCTAAGACATTACTATGCCTCTCCAAAGTCTACTGTGGGCAGGGTTCTAGAAAGTGCCCTGGACAGGCATCCATGATGCAAGATGTGAGTAAATACCATCTTTGCTTCTAATGGAGCAGCTGATGAGAATGAGAAGGCCATACTCGCTGATATCTTTAGTTCTTTGCTCTTTACTGCCATGTGTTTAATAAAATATCATGCATGGTGGAGCGTATAAACAACAGACACTAATTTCTTACAACATTGGAGACTGGAAAATCCAAAAGCAGGGTGCTGCCAGGCTCAGCATCTACTTAAGGCGTGCTCTGCCCTCACATGGCAGAGTCTCCGTAGGGGTGTGAGTCTCATGCTCAAAGGGCACAAATTTTCCACTAAGAGCTACTTAGCTCTGAAGGGCTCGCTGCCTAGCACTGTCCCTTGAGAGGTTAGGGTTGCAGCATGTGGATGTTAGTGGCACAATCTCTCAGACAAGAACACA